AGGTGTTTATCAGCTGTAGGAGTTCCCTGGTAGTTTAGCATCTAGTGAGATGATCAGCTGGGTTTTTTTTCCTCAGTTTGTTTATATAGTGGATTACATTGATGGATTTTTGTATGTTGAACCATCCTTGCATCCCTGGGATGAAGCCTACTTGATCATGGTGGATGATTTCTCTGACATGTTCTTGGACTCGATTTGCCAGTATTTTATTGAGAATTTTTGCATCAATATTCATGAGGGATATTGGTCTGTAGTTCTCTTTCTTAGTTGTGTCTTTGTGTGGCTTGGGTATCAAGGTTATTGTAGCCTCGTAAAAAGAGTTTGGCAATGACCCTTCTGCGTCTATTGTGTGGAATACTTTGAGGAGAGCTGGTATTTCTGATAGAATTCTGCACTAAAGCCATCTGGTCCTGGGCTTTTTATTGGTTGGGAGCTTCTGATGAAAGCTTCTATTTCATTAGGGGTTTTAGGTCTTTTTAAGTTACTTATCTGTTCTTGTTTTAATTTTGGTAAGTGAAATCTGTCCAGAAAATTGTCCATTTCCTTTAGATTTTCGAAATTTGAGGAATATAGGTTTTCGAAGTATGACCTGATGATTCTCTGGATTTCCTGTGTCTGTTGTTATGACCCCTTTTCAATCCTGATTTTCTTAATTTGCATGTTCACTCTCTGCTGTTTGGTAAGTTTGGATAACGGTTTGTCTATCTTGTTGATTTTCTGGAAGAAGCAACTCTTTGTTATATTGATTCTTTGTATTGTTCTCCTAGTTTCCATTTTATTGATTTCAGCCCTCAATTTGATTATTTCCTCAAGTCTGCTCCTCCAGGGTATATTGGCTTCTTTGTGTTCTAAAGCTTTCAGTTGTGCTGTTAATTCTCTAGTGTGATTATTCTCCTCTTTCTTCATGTGGGCACTTAGAGCTATGAACTTTCCTCTTAGAACTGCTTTCAAAGTGACCCATAAGTGTGGGCATGTTGTGTCTGTGTTCTCATGGAATTCTAGGAAATCCTTAGTTTCTTTTTTTATTTCTTTCTCGACCCAGGAATTGTGCAATTGGCTGCTACTTAATTTCCATGAGTTTGTAGGTTTTCTGTAACTTGTGTTGTTGCTGAATTCTAACTTTAAAGCATGGTTGTCTGATAAGATACAGGGTGTTATTTCAATTATTTTGTACCTGTTGAGGTTCGCTATGTTGCTAAGTATGTGGTCGAGTTTAGAGAAGGTTCCATGTGGTGCTGAGAAGAAGGTAAGTTGTTTTGTATTTGGATGGAATGTTCTATAGATATCTGCTAAGTCCAATTGGGCCATAACTTCTATTAGTTCCTTTGTTTCTTTGTTAAGTTTCTGTCTGGTGTTCCTGTCCATTGGTGAGAGCGGGGTGTTGAAGTCTCTCCCACTATAAGTGTGTGCGGTTTTATGTGTGATTTGAGTTTTAGTAATGTTTCTTTTACAAACATGGATGCCTTTGTATTTGGGTCATAAATGTTTAGAATTGAGACTTCATCCTGATGGATTTCTCCTGTGATGAGTAGGAAGTGACCTCCTTCATCTCTTTTGATTGATTTTAGTTTAAAGTCTAATTTGTTGGATATTAGGATTGCTACCCCCGCTTGTTTCTTGGGGCCATTTTATTGGAAAATCTTTTCCCACCCTTAATTCTTAGGTACCATCTGTCTTTGAAGTTGAGGTGTGTTTCTTGTATGCAGCAGAAGGATGGATTCTGTCTTCTTATCCATTCTGCTAATCTGTATCTTTTTATAGGCTAGTTAAGACCATTAATGTTGAGGGATATTAATGACCATTGGTTGTTAATTCTTATTTGTTTTTGATTTGGTGATGGTGGCGAAATTATGTGTAAGATTCTATCCCTTTTTCCTTTTGGCTGTTGGTAAGGTGGGATTATCTATTGCGTATATTTTTCTAGTTGTAGTTAACTTCCTTGCATTGGAGTTTTCCTTCCAGAACTTTCTGTAGAGCTGGATTAGTAAATATGTATTGGTTGAAACTGGATTTGTCATAGAATATCTTCTTTACTCCAACTATATTGAATGACAGCTTTGCTGGGTATAGTAGTCTCGGCTGGCATCCGTGGTCTCTTAGTGTAGCTAGAGTATCTATCCAGGACCTTCTGGCTTTCAGAGTTTCCATGGAAAAGTCAGGTGTAATTGTGTAGGTTTGCCTTTATATGTTACTTGACCTTTTTCCTTTGCTTCTCTTAATATTTTCTCTTTATTATGTATGTTTTGTGTTTTGATTATTATGTGGTGAGGAGATCTTTAATTTTCTTTGGTTCAGTCTATTTCGTGTTCTGTAGATTTCTTGTATTTTCATTGGCATGTCTTTCTTTAGGTTGGGAAAGTTTTCTTCTATGATTTTGTTGAATATGTTTTCTGTGCCTTTGAGTTGGATTTCTTCACCTTCTTCTATACCTATTATTCTTAGGTTTGGTCTTTTCATGGTATCCCATATTTCCTGGGTATTTTGTGTTAGGGATTTGTTGGACTTAAGATTTTCTTTGGTTGATGAGTTTATTTCTGCTAGTGTGTCTTTAACTCCTGAGATTTTTCTCTTCCATCTCTTGTATTCTGTTGATTATGCTTAAGTCTGTAGTTCCTGATCGTTTACCCAGCTTTTCTATTTCCAGAATTCCCTCAGCTTGTGCTTTCTTTATTGTCTTTATTTCAGTTTTTAGGCTTTGAACTGTTTCCTTGCGAGATTTGTTGATATCTTGTATTTTTTGGTTTTTTTTTTTCCATTTCTTTTAGGGATTTTCTCATGTCCTCTTTGAGGTCCTCTCTTATTTTCATGAAGATGTTTTTAAGGTCATTCTCTTCTGGTTCATCTGCATCGTGATGTTGAGGTCTTACTGGTGTATGGTTCCTAGTCTCCGGGGGGGTCATATTGGGTTTTCTGTTGTTGAATGTGCTTGGACAGTGTCTTCTTCTCATCCTTTCTTCTGGTGGGGGTAGCAGGAGTCTCTTTCTCTCCTGAGGGGTGTGGGACCAAGGTTCCCTTCTGGTAGATGCAAACAGTTCCAATACTCTGATGTCTGTCCTCTTGTCGTGGATGGAGGTGGCACTGTTACCAGGGCCTTGGCAGTGTCTGGGTGTGATCCGGTGAGCAAGCCCGTGGCATCAGATGTTTCCTAGCAGTGCTGCTTAACCAGAACCAGAAACGCCCCTGGCATAACTGGGCCAGTGGATGGAGGCGGGATTGGGCCAGTGGATGGAGGGGGAACTGCCACTGGGCCTTGGGCAGTGTCCAGGTGGACTGGATCCCATTACCGTGTTCGGATCCGGTGAGTAGACCCCTGGCGTCAGATGTTTCTTAGTAGGGCCGCTTAACCTACCTGTTTCCAATTTTAACATTGTGGAAACTTCACACAGTGTTAAGACTGGATATGGGGAATATAGAAGATTTGCTTTTCTTCTCAAAGAACAATTTGAAGGGACATGACCCAGAGAAATGACACATGCAACAAAGCTATGCAATGTCTAGGGATGAGGGATAATCTGAGGGAGCCATACCACGGGGCAAGTTTTTTTTCATAATATAATTAATAGCTTTTTGTCTATTATTTAGAGATGAGACAGGCCTTGCTATCTTGCCTATACTGGCTCCAATTGTTGGTCCTCTTGCCTTCACCTCCCTAGTATCTGGAATTACAGACAAGTGTTTCTGTACCTGAATAATACTACAGTTTTTAAAAGGGGCACTGGAAATGAGCAGCTATGGCACCCAAAGGAGCCTGTGAGAGTGGGAGACAGAATGTGTAGCCCTGACAGATACATCTACAACTTACATACTGGGCATCAACATCAGAGATCAATGGGACCAATTAGACCAGCAGAGATCAAAAGTAGAGCCAGCCAGGTCCCCGGATGCCCACTTGGCTCCAACAAGATTCATGTTCAATCTCATTAACACCCTCCATCTTCTGGCTCCCCCCTCTTTCTCTTTCTCTTCTTTTTCCTTAGTATGCATTCCTCATATGGTAGCAAGAGAAGGTAGAGAAGAATAACCCAAAGGAAAAATTATAAAGAGAATGAGATCTGAATAAAACACAGCTCTTTACTGGCAGTGGATGTTGGGCTCTTGAGCTGGGTTATGTCAAATCAATGACAGCAAGCCACAGCCCTTCATGTCTTTATGTGGGAATTTTTTGTTCACTGTGATATGCATAGACACATGCATGACTGAATGAGTGTCTTGTCTGTGCTTTTCATAGTATGGCAGGCCTGACAGGCATACAGACCTAGACTTAAATCATGGCTCATCCACATAACAGCTAGATGACTTCAGGCAACTTCCTTAGCCTGAGGCTCTACTTCTGTAAACTAAGAACGGTAGTGCTGTGGCTATTTTTGCCATGATTAAATGAGATACAACCATTGAGCATTTAGTAAATACTATTTATCATCATCAACACCAACACGATCATCATAATTATTATCATTATTAAATAATAAGTTATTCTTACCATTGTATGTGTGAATTTTGACTGTCTGAAATTTTTAAAGATTTATTTATTTATTATGTACAATGTTATGTCTGTATGTATGCCTGCAGGCCAGAAGAGGGCACCAGATCTCACTATGGATGGTTATGAGCCACATGTGGTTGCTGGGAATTGAACTCAGGACCTCTGGAAGAGCAGCCGGTGCTCTTAACTACTGAACCATCTCTCCAGCCGGACTGTTTGAATTTTTGATTGGTATAATTACCTGTATGTATGTGTGTATGTATGTATGTATGTATGTATGTATGTATATATGTCACATACAACTCCTATTACTGTATTTAAAGGCTAAGGAATGTTTGGACAGAGGATTGTCAGTGTTGTTATTTAACGTGAACCTCTCTCTCTCTCTCTCTCTCTCTCTCTCTCTCTCTCTCTCTCTCTCTCTCTCTCTCTCTCTCTGTGTGTGTGTGTGTGTGTGTGTGTGTGTGTGTGTTCTGGTTTCATTTTGTTGATATGATAAAACTCTTTGACCAAATAGAACTCAGAGGAGAGCAAGTTTATTCCACCTTACAGGTGACAGTTCATCACAGAGGGAAGTCAGAGCAGGAACTCGAGGCAGCAACCATAGAGAAGTAGTACTTGGTAGCTGGCTTGCAGACTCATGCTTAGCTGATGTTCTTTTTCAGTCCAGGACTACTTGCTTATAGAATGGTGCCACCACAACTGGCTGGGCCCTTCCACATCAATTAACAATGAAAACAATCAGTTCCCTCCAGATACATCCATGGAGTAATAGGAGCTGGGCAATCCCTCAGTCAAGACTCCTTTCTCAGGTGACTCTAGGGCTGTGTCAAACTAAAGCTAATTAGGAAAATATTTATGCAACATATTAGGTTTTGGGAACAAGGTATCATACTGTAGCCCAAGCTGCCTTCAAATTCAGGCAAACCTTCTGTATTTGCCTCCTGAGTGATGAAATTACAGCTATGAGTCACTGTCCCTGCCTATATTTTGATTTTATGTCGCTCATTTGTTTATTGTTGAGAATGTGTGCTTGGAAAGAGTTATGTATCTCTGAATTTGAGGAAAGTCCAAAGCAAAGTTTCTCATGATCCAAAATAGAAATTTACATCTCCAATGAAGAAAGCAGGTTCCCCAGACATCATCCCTCACTTTGGTGGAAGGATGGTGAGCAGCCCAAAGGTTCACAAAGGTGGAGGCTTCTTCTTTGCAGATGCACTTGGAGGCACAGCATGCTTGAGTCTTACCCTACCACTCACTGAAGAGCTCTGCTTGAAGCACATCTCCTGGGCAGGGCTCCTGTAGAAGAACTGATCATGAAGTAAGTTTATTATAGAACATCCATTTTCTTTTTTAACTTTAATTAGTTAATTTGGGGGAGGAGGATTGAGACAGTGTTGCTATGTAGTTCAGGCTACCCTCAAATTTACTATCATTTTGTCTCAACTTCCAAAGTGCTAGGATTTACTGGTATGTGCCACTATCTAGGTTGGAGACATCCCTGTCACAGTAAGCAACTGTTTACTGTGGTAGCAGTCCCTATCAACAGCAAATTCTCTATGGCTTCCTTCTGGTCCAAGTGATTCACAAAAACTTCTGGCCCAAGTATCTCTTGACTCTTATTCAGGAGTGGCGGGGCAGACTGGGCATAGTGGCACTTGGGTGGAAGAGGCAGGCAGTTCAGTCTAAGCAGGGCTACATAGAGAGACTTATAAAAAAAAATGGCTGTGTTTCCGGGCATTGGTGGTGCACGCCTTTAATCCCAGCACTCAGGAGGCAGAGGCAGGCAGATCTCTGTGAGTTCGAGGCCAGCCTGGTCTCCAGAGCGAGTGCCAGGATAGGCTCCAAAGCTACATAGAGAAACCCTGTTTCGAAAAACCAAAAAAAAAAAAAAAAAAAAAAGGCTGTGTAAACCTATTTCCATCCTCATGCCATTAAAACTCAAAGCCTGTAGGCGTGCCAGCCCCTGGGTAATAAAATCTGATTGTTATCCCTCGTGGTCTTATTGTGTTTGGTGACAGAGGCATTAAAGTTGGCCTTGTTTCTGGGTGGCTCAATAAATCATGTAATCTTTTGATACAGTTACTTCATCTAAACTGGGTGATAATGGATGATATTGTGTGAGTCTGCCTCAAGAGATATTGTAGAAAGGTGAGGATCTCATTGGAGGCACAAAGTCCATCAGCTATGTAAGTATCATTAACCAGCCCTGGCTTTAGTCATGCAGTGAATGGTTTATTGTTCAAGTAGAGCCATTCCCATATCAATGCAACCTGTAGCAACATACTAACAGTGGGTCTTCTAAATTCTTTCAAGATTATTGTTAGATTCATTTTCATCTCTTGAATTTTCATTTCTAGATCTTGAAAGTTTTCTTCCTATTCCATTAGAAGGTACATTTTCCCCAGGGAAACATTTAGCTAGAGGCAAGCCTGTCTTGGCTCCATGAGTAAGCATGAATGTACCTGGCCAGATGGCAGTAAATTAGGGCTGCCCTAATTCACACAGATCTCTCCTAGCTAAGTACCTTGCTAAGAAGAAAAGTCATGTGCAGAGTGACATTTAGCAACTATTCCAGTAGGCACACTGTTCATGTCAGGAACAAATACCCTGTGGCACGTACTGATAGCCTATCCAAAATTTCCAGAGTTCTTCAGTACTCATCTGGAAATGCAGATTGAGTGAGTCACCCTGGATTCAGAATCATGGAATTGTGTATACCTGTGGAATAAATGTGCAGTCATAGATGACCATCTTCAACACTGAGACAACTTGGACATTTGAAGACATGGGAAAGATTTGTTTTATATTACTCAACTTTCTTCAGCATCCAGGAAATTGCGAAGGATACTGAAAACAAGTGCTTCTCTACCAAGATGAATACCAGCTGTAGACTCTGGTCTGGCTGTGGAAAATCCCAGAGGCGATCTAGGAATATCTTGGTTAGGGACCAATGATTAGGTTGTCGCCACCGTCATCCTTTGGTGACACCCTCTCTCCCTTTGATGGTTTCTTTCTCACTCAGGCCTCCAGGGTCATTCATTATATTAGTGGTTCATGGCCTATTTGATCCAACAAGGCACCCAGCAAGGATGTTCTTCAACAGTCAAAGATAGTCCTACTGTGCCCTGGAATTCCTTTCTTGACTTTGTTTCCTAAAGTAGAAAAGAAATTCTGAAAGGGAGGAGTCTAGGTTGCTCTTACATATGTTTCATGGGCTATTTCTTTCTCCTTCTCCAAGGAAAATTCAAATAATAATTTAAACGTGGGGCAGGAGCCATGTTTATTGTTTCCTGGATACAGATGTTAGGAACTCTCATTTATTCCTTGTTGATTTTGTTAACAGGGGAGGGTGTAGATTACATCCTACTACTTTTTCCAACAAACTGCCTACAAAGGCTGCTCGCTCAAGGACCAAAAGGGATTAAACAGAGCCTAGGAGTGGCATACTGCTTGCCTACCAGCACATGTGTGTTAACTCTCCAATACTGCAAATAATAATAACAAGAATAAATTGTTTAAAAAGGAAGAAGCTGGGACATAGACAGTGTATATATTTTATTAGTCCTATATGGAGTGAGATCCATTAGGTTTGGCCTCCCAGAGAAGATAGGACTTTACCTGTACATTGAGATGGAGTTGTGTTTGAGCACACAGAGAGGAGAGGATTAACACCACATGTCATTCAGTTACTTAAACAAAAGTCCAGAAGGGGAAGCAAGCACCATGAAGGTTCTGAGACCTGAAATTGAAAATGCAGAGACTACTGAACGACCTTATGAAAGAAATATATGAAAACCATTACAGCAAGTAATTTACCACATAAAATGCACTCCTGTTCAGCTCTTAGCAGGACTGAAATAATTCTCAAAGCAATTGTTTTCTTTTGGGGGGGAGAAGAGTTGTTTGTTTTGTTTTTCCATATAGGGCTTCTTTGCATAACAGCTCTGCCCATCCCAGAACTCGCTTTGTAGACCAGGCTGACCTTGAATTTAAGAGATCCTCCATTGAAGGCATGCATCACTACTGTCCAGCTGCAGTTTCTTTCTTTTAGGAGAGCATTTAAAAGATATCACTGTGGCCTGGATTGTGCCCTCCCTGTTAACTAGAACTGGTGGTTATTGATTTGGATTAAACTTCCACACTATGCCCTGATAGATCAAACCCATTACTGCTCAGTGTCACACACTGGAATGTTAAGGGAACAGATAACACCGAATAGACAAGTTTTTCCTGGGAAAAGGAGACCCATAGCCATAAACTGGAAAGGGCCCTGGCAACCAAATCATGGTAATAAGGAAGTCCCCTTTGCTTATGCCCTTACCAGAAAAATTGCTTGTAGTAACCTGACTGAAGTTATCAGTCTGCTTTTGTTGCATGCCTGTTTCCTTCTTTCTGCCAAAATCCCAGCTGGCCTAGGCCTAGTCAAGCACACTTTGTTTTATTCTAGAATCCTGAAGAAAAGGCAACTAGAACTTTAAAGTACATTGATTGTGGTTTTTCCTTTTAACCCAAAATGTGGATGTTGAATACCCCCACCCATCCCCACACTCCTCTTGCACAACCAACAGGCCACTTGTGTATACAGCAAAAGAGCCTGCACCTGCAGGATGATCAAAGAGGCTTTGGAATGAGACCTTCCTTATCATTCCACTTGACCTTGGACTACTGCTTCTGGAACTGTGTGACGTTGTCTGCTGTTGGGACTACCCAGTTTGTGGTATTTGCTATGGCCCATGCTGACGAAGACAAGTACATATTACAGTATTCCAAAAGACTACCTCTCCCATGAGCTGCTGGAGAAGCTGATGGGAGATTGGCTATTGACCTCAGTCTCCAGTTAGGCTCATCAGCCTCACACCTGGAAAGAAGCAAGCTCCTGACTCAGGGGGATAAAGAGTTGCTACACATCCAGGAGCTGATCTCTAACATAAAGGGCAAAGGTGATGTTCTCTCTTCTAGGACTGCTCTGCTCATCTGTCCCAAGCTCTCTGTAAGGATGCAAGAAGGGGGCTCTTGCTCAGTTATACTGCATAGTTACCACTTCTCCAGCTAGCTGAGAATTTAGAGTCCCTTTATTTGATTCTGTCTAATGATGGAGGAATACATGTCCAGACTCTTTAGAATGTAGCCAAAGATCTGCCCGAGGTCACCTAACCACCATGTTGGTGATATAGATCCCCAAAGCCTTTATCACCCCAAGTAAGATTCCTATGTTTTCCTACCTGACCAGCTGCTTAATCACATTTAATAGAAATGACAAGATAAAATTTATCTGATGATTTTTACAAATGTGCCTGGCATTGTGCTCAGCATCTCTAGTCCTCCTCTCACTGAATACTGTCTACAAATTGATGAACCAGTGATAACGATCTCCATTTTTCAGATGAGAAAATACTTAGATAAGCTAAGAAATAGGCCCAAGGTCACACTTTAAAGTGAATGCAGGCCTCAAACTCACCCTGAAAGCATCACAATATAAATGTGGGTTAAGTAAGAATGAAGACCCAGAACACCAGCTGACAAATATAATTAGTTGTATTTCAAAATTCTATTCAACATTCTCAAAATTTCAGAAGCTAACTAACCTAACATGTTAAATGTCTCGTCATCAGTAGTTGAAATATATCGCATTCCATTTCTCAGCTCTCCCACCTCTCATTTTCATCTGCCTGCCCTCCCTCCTTCCCTCCGCAGTTATACCTATACATAAGCTTGGAGAGCCAATGAAACCTCGAAGTTCTTCCTTGCAAGAAAACATTCTGAACAGAAGGCGCCTCCACAGTTGTGCATGGTCTCACACGCACACGGAGATCCACAAGGATAGATAGATTCTTCCCGAATCTGCAGAACAATTGGCAACAGTTGGCACGGGTTCTAAAGACCTAGTGTGATTGTCTTAAAAATCAGCTCAAAGGTGTCCCTAAGTAGTTATTACTTGCCCTGTCACTGGCTTTTCTTATTGACCAGATGCACTGAACCTTGCAAAACCCGCTGTTGGCTTTCGACACAGCATCGCCAAAACCATCACCACCACGCTTGGCACAATCCTAACAGGATGCTAGAAGGCCAAATACCCAAGTGCACTGCCAGGGCTCTCTGTAACAAATATGTCTCCAGCTTTTGGAATCCTTTATTAGAGAGTGGTTGAACAAAGAACAAAGATTTGCTTCCTTTAACACAGCAAATCAGATCCTAAAGACTTTCCATGGTTACCCAATGTTCAGGGCTTCCACCGCGGCCACATTAATTCAGCCTCAAAGTCAGGGGATGATTTGACGCATCATTTGCAACACATGCTTTTGTTTTACTATCTCATTCTTCTGATGCCTCATTTAAAAGATTGGCAACTATTAAAAAAATATCACCATGTCACTCCCCTGCCAGGAAAATGGGTGTCCGGTTATTAAAAATCTAAGCTCATACTAAAACAAAACAAAACCCACCAAACCAAAACAAACAAAAAACCCCGCCAGAGCAAGTGGAATCTCAGATCTGAGGAAACACAGCGGATGAAAGCGTCAGTCTAAGCCCTGGAAACGGGGGTCACGTGGGCCCCTTCCCGGGCTGTGGATCCTGGACGTCACCAATCCCGGCAGCCGCGGAGCCGGTGCTGGCAGCCGCACATAGTGCTTGTCTGACTCAGCGCTGAGTCACCACTCTCCGAAACAGTGCTTGCCCTGCCGCGCCGCCGAGGGCTGCCGGGTCTGTTCATGCAGGTGCCGAGCCCTCCATGTGCCTCAGACGGGTCGCTTCCCGGAGCAGCCAGCTTTTGAAGCCCGACCAAGCCCAGCATTAACTGTCTGCGTGGCTGACTTTGTTTTTAAGGGCTAACTGGTCTAGGTGATTAAATTGTTCCATCGGAAGCTAGTTGGAACAGATCCCCGACTTTGTCCTTGAAAAGTGAATGACTTTGAGATGACCTCCGTTCAGATTTTACTTCTACTGTTCCAAACTTCTGTATTATTATTATTATTATTATTATTATTATTTTATTTTATTATTATTATTACCCTCCGTTTCATAAGGTTATCTTTTCAGTATGTTTGGAAACTAATCTTGTCACAAACCCACAAATGTGGTGACGCAAGTCAGGTTGGAATCTGGCATGGTGTGGAGGCAGTGACTTACTGTAAAAACCAGGGCCTTCATGGCCATATCCTATCTGTCATCTCAGGCGTTGATTAGCTGCCTTGCCTTTTGAGAGGTCCTGGGGATTTAGACGGCCTGTTGAAATCTGTCTTCACAGTTGCCAAGTTCATTGCTTCCTCCTTGGAGTTTCAAATGAAGAGGACAAGAGATAAGCATTTCTCCAAGTGTAGCCTGGACCAACTGTCCCAGAAGCACGATTTCACTCCAAGCTGGAGCTGCAGAATGTCCCGGGTAAAACTAGAAACCAACCATCTGCCAGCACTTCTTAGGCCCATGTGATCTAAAAATCCTACCAGAAGATAGTAGGGAAGCATTTCACCTAGACTTGAAGACAGAGACCGACCACACAGTCCCGATTCTGAAATTGATTTTGAATTCTGGTGGAAGGCAACAGAATTTCTGAACTTGATATTTATTTATTTATTTATTTATTTATTTATTTATTTATTCATTCATTTTTTTCATTTGCTTTGCTTATACACTACACACAGATTTCTTTCTTTTTATTTATAATGTTAGTTACATAAGAAAACCGAGACTGAATGAGAATATAGGGTTTTCTGGGGTTGATCTCAACACTGCAAATAAATGAATAAGCAAATAAATATTAGGTAAAATTCGGTTATATCAGAGCAGAGCAATGTTGCCCCAGCAGATTTAGCATTGGAATTACATACAGAGCCTTGAGAAACGACTCCTGGGTCAGATTCTGGGCCTAAAGCAATGCCACATCTGAATGTGAAGGACATTTTACATTTTGAAGGTCTCCAGCTCAGTCTTCGAACAGAGGTAAACATCCCTATACTCAACAGTAATACACACTTCACAGTTCCAGGCTGGTGATCCTGCTGTGCTTCCTCATCTTTCTGTCTGAAATATCAGGAAAAGTAAAATACAAGACAGCCAGAAGAAATAACAGTGTACTGTCACTCTGATAAAGTCATTCTGCTGTGGATGGCGCTGAAGGCCTGAGTGCTCTAGTCAATCGCTCCTTTGAGAAGCTATAAGCGCACTGTGGCACACATTCTCACCCATGATCCTACAAAGGAGTGCACAGAAATAATAACAAAATATTGGTGAGAATACATAATGATTATTCACTAAGACAACATGGAACAGTATTTTGCACCCAAGTGAAATAAAATATGTACTTTGAAATACAAGAGAATTCTTTTCAGTTTGTTTCTGGTTTTGTTTTTTGTTACTAGCTATCCTTGCACTCTATATTTTAGGCTGAGTCATACCTTCTTTCTAAATCAGTCAAACTACCCAGATATGCAAAAGAAGGGTTTCTCAGAGAATCTGAGCATCTGGTTTCTCCTTAGCCCCAGGGATTGAACTCGGGTCATCACACTTGGCAGCAAGCACTTTCACTATTGAGTCATCCTGCCACTTCCTCTTTTCCTGCTGCTTGTAGGTATCTATATAGTCTTTTACCATCTCTATTTTTGTTAGGTTTTTCATTATATTTGTGATATTTAGGTTTATTAAAGAAAAGCACCACAATTTTCCAATTGACATAACAAACACAATGGCTGGGTGTGGTGGCTCAAAGCTGTCCTGAGACAGTCCTAGGGATAGTTCTAGAGAGGCGGTGGCAAAAGGATTATAGCATGGAGGCCAGTTTGGCTATCTCAAAACACACAACAGTCTCGAAAACTTTTATGGATTTTGGTCAATGTAAATCAACATTTATTGAGTGGGTATTCTGCTTGTAATTATATTATCCTCAGATTTCTTGCTTTTAATAAGTGAAAGTGTAGCATTTTTATGGCTTTAAATACTGTATTTAAGCCTTTGTCCACTCCTGTCTACGACCAAGCCTCAGGTCCATCCCTTACAGATTTGTTTCATTTTGTTAAGTGAGTGTCACCTGTAGCCTAGGCTTGCTCAGGCTAGCTTCACACTAAAGGTCCTTGCTCCTCAGTCTCTCAAGAGTTCTCAAGAGAGTGGTAAAAATTTTGGGTTTCTGTTCAATCGTACATCTGAATTTTCTAGCTGTGAAAACAAAAATTTCAAGTATACAGTGCCTCCCTTGCTGCATCTAAAAACAGATGCAAAAAGTGACAGTGGTAGCAGTGACTCTTCCAGGCTTACAACCTTACTGGAATATGTCTCACACAGTTAACTTGCTGTTAATAGAAGAGTCCAGTGACTCGCCGTACCTTTAGAATCCAATGAGAGCTTTCAAATCTGCAACACCATGATGGTCCTTAATTCTTCCTTCACTTTAAAACAGATCTGGGGTCAGACAACACTTATTTGAAAATATTTGGGTTTTTAAATTAAGATGTAACTTATAGAGAGTAATTTTAATACCATTAGACAGCCAGCTCTTGCCTACAGTCATGCATGTACCTACCCCACCATACTCATAACACAAAGGCATTCCTTTACTACTCAAGTCCCATCCCATCTTTGGCCCTTGGAAATCGCTCATATGTTTTCTGCCTTTATAATTTTGTCTCTTCCAGAATGTTAGGTGAATGTTATCAGGCATAAGGAGCCTTCTGAATTGGCCTCTCATTTAGTATAGTGCATTTGAGATGCTCCAACTTTTGTCACTTAGGGCTGCTCATAGCCTTATACTGAGTAGGATATGCCAGTGCTCATTCAATATCAATGTTAAGCCAGAATTTTGCATTTATTAAGAAAAGAAAGGCTGGGCCTAGTGGCACAAGCCTTTAATTCCAGCACTTGGGAGGTAGAGGCAGGCAGATCTCTGAGGTCAAGGACAGCCTGGTTTACATAGTGGATTCCAGAACAGCCAGAGAAACAGTGAAAGATAGTGTCTTGAAAAAGACAAAAATGAAAACAAAATAAAAAAGAAACAAAGAGAAAATTAAAATAAACTCCTATTACCTTGAATTCTATATTGACTTTGGACTTATTTGAGCATATATTAGGTATAACTATTTCAAGAACCACTTTGTCACATACTTTAGAAAACAGTAGATATTTATTCTAGTTATGTTTATTTTGTACACATCAGAATCATGCGGTCCAATTTTTTTTCCACCTACAAGGGAATACAGCACACAGGATGGTAATAGCTGACATCGGGTAATATTTTGCTTTATCAAAATATTCTGAAGGTGAGTGTTCCATGTGGGTCCCATTCAACCTAGACCTTTGAAATAGCTTGTTTCCATTTAAACCCTAGTAATCTTTTACCCCATGGAGGCAACAGGTGGCTTAGAAAAGAGCCAGTAGAAAGATAATGTGTGCCCTTCAGGATGGATGCCAGTGGAAAAAAGTGACCTGAAATACAGATCTCAGGCCTGACATGATGAAAATCTAATGCCACAGCTGTTGTCTCTCAGAACTGTCACTCATCATGTTTTAATTTCACAGTTTTGATTTAATCTTTTCTAAATACAGCACTGGATAAATACAGAACAAGATAACAAGAGTTCCCGGCAAAGAAGCCAGTTCAGTATTGGCCCCGGCCCTCCTGTCCCTGGTCCTTTGGGTTTTCTTTTCTGTGGAGATTGCATCTCCAGAGCTCAGCTTTTATGCTCTGGAGGGACAGGGC